TCTCACACACACACACACACACACACACACACACACTCACTCACACGCACACACACAGTCACTCACACTCACTCACTCACTCACACACACACACACTCTCACACTCACACACATACACACACACACACTCACTCACTCACTCAATATTTCACTTAAAAAATTTTTATTTTTTTTAAATTCCCTTTTTGGATTATAAATCAATATAACTATTGTTAATATTACTAATAAAAGTATGAAACAAAAGAAATATTACTACTATAATATTTCATTGTAAAAAAAAAATTTTTTATAAATCAAGAATTTAAGAAAATAAATTATACAGTGTATGGTAATATTACAATATTAATATTTATGGCTGGCTTAATGTTTTCATTTTTGTTAAATCGTGGGGGAAAAACACTTCATTCTAACACATGCAGTGTATGTATTTAAGTAATCCGCAGCCTTTGTGGTTTGATAATCAGCAACGTCAAATAGCATGACATACTGTCACGTTTGATTGCCGTATTATGATTTGTAATTGTGATTTATATCAGGAAGATAGCATGCGAGTATGTATATGTTTACATGGTTCAAAGGCATGTATGACGTCACTTCCTGTCTCTGCCCCTTCAGGAAGAGGAGAAGCAGAGGTTGAAGGAGGAGCTCGAGGACGCCAAAGACAAAGCCCGGCGACGGTCGCTAGGCAACATCAAGTTCATCGGGGAGCTGTTCAAGCTGAAGATGCTGACGGAGACCATCATGCACGACTGCATCGTAAAGCTGCTGAAGAACCACGACGAGGAGAGTCTGGAGTGTCTCTGCCGCCTGCTCTCCACCATCGGGAAAGACCTGGACTTCGAGAAGGCCAAGGTGACACTCGCGCATTACACAACAGCTCATGCAGCAACCATAGCAGGAGTGTGCTATATTATTGTGTATTCTGTTGCTATAATATTTTATTAACATTCATATATTTCTATATAATATTTCAATGTATATATTAAATTATATATTATATTATTTTGTGTAATATATTATCAGTACAATTATTTTAATTATATAAATTAATATATGTATATATAATTGAGCATGTATAGTGTGAGTGTGTGTGTGTGTGATAGAGGTCGACCGATTTTGGGTTTTTCACTGTTTTTCACTGGCCGATGCCGATATTTAGAAATCAGGGCGGCCGATGTATGAAGCCGATATGTTTGGCTGATTTTCTTTTTTTCCCATTCATGTCATAAAAGTGAGTTTGAGCAAATTATTATTGCAGGGTACAAGATAGTAATAATAGTAGCCTAATTCAGAGTAATAATACATGGCTCAAAACTTAAGCACCTTCTTAAAACAGCTCTGAAGCATGCTTTTTGTTTATGTTTGCTGACAGACACCAGTGTTTCCCACAGACTTGCAAATGCAAATTCATTCTCTGCCAGCAGGAGGCATGTCATAAAAGTGAGTTTGAGCAAATTATTATTGCAGGGTACAAGATAGTAATAATAATAGTAGCCCAATTTAGTGTAATAATACATGGCTCAAAGCACCTTCTCAAAACAGTTCTGAAGGATGCTTTTTGTTGATGTTTGCTGACAGACACCAGTGTTTCCCTGAGACTGCAAATTAATTCTCTGCCAGCAGGAGGCGCTGTTGGAGCGGGAGATATATAGCGGTTTCCCCGGTAACGGCTGTAAACGAATAAGCACTGCGCTCACAAACGGTACTTTATCAGGTATTACAGGAAAGACGAAACGAAAATGACACCGAAGCTTTTCTGAAGGTCGGTTCTTTTCAAAGATACATTCATATAGAGACACCAGCGCAATTTTCTTTTTTTTCCCCATTCATCTCAATAAAGTGAGTTTGAGCAAATGATTATTGCAGGGTAGAAGATAGTAATAGTAGTAGCCCAATTTAGAGTAATGATACATGGCTCAAACCTTAAGCACCGTCTTAAAACAGTTCTGAAGCATGCTTTTTGTTTATGTTTGCTGACAGACACCAGTGTTTCCCACAGACTGTAAATTAATTCTCTACCAGTAGGAGGCGCTTCTGGAGCGGAAGATATAGCGGTTTCCCCTTTAACGACTGTAATCTAATCAGCGCTGCGCTCACAAATGCTACTTTATCAGGCATTACAGGAAAGACGAAATGAAAATGACATCGAAGCTTTTCTGAAGACAGTCGGTTCTTTTCAAATATACATTCATATAAAAACATCCACGCTGCATTTTAATTTTGAAACGTGAAGCGCTCATTTTATTCAACGAAATATAAGCCTTTTGGAAAATCTATTTGTTTATTTAAATTGTAATATTTCAGTATTTTTGCTGTATTTTTTATCAAATAAATGCAGCCTTGGTGAGCAGAAGAGACTTTTTGATGCATATTGGACTTTCTGCGCAGGGGCGCCCTCTAGTATCCAGTATGAATGAAACAGACATTACATGTGTTCATAGCACTAAATAATGGCCAATCTATAAAAATAATGTTTCTCTCAAAATAAATTTAAGGTAGACGTGATAATCCATGTTTTTCTACAGTGTACAACAATATACTGGAGTTTTTTTTTTTTTTAAATAGCATTTAAAATCGCTTAAAAGAACTCTGTTGTGCCAAACCATCAGAACTAAACTGAAAACTGTGTTTAAAAAACGGAGGTATTTATTGAAGTTTGGGCTAACTGTATTGTTGCATTCCTACTGTTTACTCTAAAATACTGTATAACAGGAATATCACAAACTGAGTGCAGACTCGGAGTACTAACCTATGAAAAATATTTAACATGAAGCATTTTGCACATTGTGCAATTATGATTTTGACATTAGCCATCAAGGACTAATCGGTTCTTTTCAAAGATACATTCATATAAAATCATCCACGCTGCATTTTAATTTTGAAACGTGAAGCGCTCATTTTATTCAACGAAGTATAAGCCTTTTGGAAAATCTATTTGTTTATTTTAAATTGTAATATTTCAGTATTTTTGCTGTATTTTTTATCAAATAAATGCAGCCTTGGTGAGCAGAAGAGACTTTTATCAAAAACATCAAAAAATAGTAATTATTTCAAACATTTGATGTTAGTGTAAATCACATTTTAAAAGTGAAACGGGTTTAACGCAGTGTTTTGATTTCTGTAATGTGTAAGAGTGGGGTTACATTTTGATGAAAAATTATAAAAGCAGAACTTTTTTTTTTGGTGCAGGATAAAACTAGAAACTTGAATGTTAGTGAATAGTTTTCTGTATAGATATTTCCCGTATAGATTGCAGCAGTGTGGCAGTAATGTCTCTCTAGTGTGTTCTTAGGAAACTCACTTCATGTGTGTGTCACTCACACACGATTAGTTTCATTTCTGCTGAAGCAAAACTGAAGCGCATAAGAGATAAGAGAGGGAATAGAGTGACTCAGTGGGAAAATAAGGGAAAATTCCAGCTTATTTTCAGTGTAATGTTTAATGTTTAGCCGATTGCAATTTTCTTGGCCGATTTCCGATTTTTTTTTGTAAGTGTGACCTGCCGATACCAGTTTTTTCAGATTTTCTTTCTAAAAACTATAATTGACAGCATATTCAAACAAAAATCTATACTTTTTTCAATGCAAAAAAAATTATTTACGTAGTAAAAAATTATTAAACATTACGATTCCCCAATCTGGACAAAGTTGCAGATGTTCACATTACGATTGGACAAAGTTGCAGATGTTCTCTCACTTAAACAACTCTCAAAACAAAGTGCTCTGTGACCTCTGTGACTGTAGAAATAGCAATTAACTAAAAAGGAGTTGCTGTGTATAACAAAACCGATGACATTTCCCACTGCGTTTCTTAAATTATAATTTTTTCACTAACCTTATTAAATGTCATCTTTCGCATCAAATTCTTACGTTGTTTTTAATTAGGAATAATAAGAAACTGTTGAGCTGTTACCATTCAAATTAAATCAGTATCAGCATCTTTCCACTGCAGCAAACACAGAAGCTGCATCTGAAGTATTAGATGTATTTACAGACTGTTTGATGAAGCAGAGGTGCCATAAATGCATTTACACTGCAAAAATTTAATGCATAAAGAATTTTATAAGATTAATGTTTTAAATATTTTTTAAACACACAAATAAGAAATGTTGGGGGAAAAGCAACGATAGTTTTAAATATGAAACCAAACCAGTAGGTGGCGTCAAATTACCGTTTGAATGAGTGAGTCATTTAGTCCTTCATTCAACAGATTCGTTCAAATGGCCGATTCATTCAGAAACACTGTCTTTATGAACGGGTTACTGAATCATTGACTCATTTGATTCGTTCAAAAACACTGTCTTTATGAACGGGTTACTGAATCATTGACTCATTTGATTCGTTCAAAAACACTGTCTTTATGAATGGGTTACTGAATCATTGACTCATTTGATTCGTTCAAAAACACTGTCTTTATGAACG